AGAATCAAGCTAACCTAAAGTCACTGGAACCCCTTTTGACAATTGCCTTTGTGTTTGAGAAACACCTTTACCCCAGAGAGACCGCACTGTGAGAGTGACACTTTGAGAGTGGCCTGCAACCTTGAGAGATGGCACCCTGAGAGGAACCAAAGCACTTTGACAGCGCCATGGGAGAGCCATTTCATGCACCCTTGCGTATGTGCGTGTGACTCGAGAACAACAAGCGCCTATGTACAGCCTACGAATTCCAAACCCTGTTACGCCACTGTCCCCTGTGAGCCGTCATGATGTTTTACCACCTGTGCTTGCTTGTGATGCCCCCGGGGTGTGCGACAGGCGCAGGCTGTGTGAGTGAATGCATCTGAGAAGATCGGTTTGTTTTGAATCTTTAGGCTCTGACTATACTTTGAGGGACAACGTGAGCAAGCATACTCAAAGACAAAGGAAACACAGGAAACACAAGCTAGCCAACAAGCACAGCTCCTGGGCGACACCGCTGCCTGCATGCAGACCAGCTGAAACACAACTGGTAGAGTCAGAGACGCTTGTGATCTTTGCCATGGCTGAGCCCCCGTGCAGGCTGTTCTTAAAGAATGTGCTTGCGCAATACACCCCGGCGGATTTGGAAGCAGAGCTGCGGCAACGGGGGCTGGGCTACGGCCTTCTTCATATACACCCCGTCCGGAAGGGCGCGCTGGTGGCAGACAAACCGTCTGTCTTCTTCTTGACCTTCGAAACGTGGGCTCAAGTTCACAATGCGGCGGTGTCGCTGGCCGGAACCTACTTCCTGTCAAAGTACCCAGTTGTCGCGGAGGCAGCTCGCCCGCGAACAGACGGCGCTGTTTACCCTGTCAACCTGGCTCCGGTAGCTCCTGCGGCGCCGATCGTGGGTTCGCAAGCCAAGTCTGCCTCAGGGCCACCTTCTTGGCGCGGGGCAGCAGCGGGGCGCGGCGCAGCGGGGCGTGGCGCAGCGGGGCGTGGCGCAGCGGGGCATGGCGCAGCTTCACCAAGCGGCTGTGGCAGGCGGGGCCCGGTTGACCTTGTCCCTCCAGCTCCTCCACCTCCTCCAGCTCCTCCAGCCCCTCCAGCTCCTCCAGGCCCTCCAGCTCCTGCATCACCTGTGTCAGATACACTTGAGACGGAGGAGATGGAGGAGGAAACGGTTCAGCGCTGCACTCATGATGACTACATGGTTGATCCAACGGAAGACGCGGACGACTCTGACGATTTGCCTACCACGCCAGAAACAGATGCAGAGGCGGGCACCTTGCTGCCACTTCCAGTCGGGCCTGTCAAGCTCGAGCCTGCGTTGCCATCGCCATCATTACAGGTTCAGAGGAGCCCAGCATCATCGGCGGCTTCGGACTCGCGCTCAGCGCGCAGGAGGCGAACAAGGCCTTCCCGTGGCAGAGATCGCTCGCGTGGGCGGAGGAGGCGGAGGCGAAGCTAACGCATGTACACATTGGAGTGAAAAAGGAAAAAGGCGCGCTAGTGTTGTTTTCAAACTTGCTGTGCTGAGATACGTTGAGCGCCAAGCTTTGGGTCATAAATCCTGAGCTGTCAGGGGGCACACCTCTAGAAGACTTAGGAGATGAGTCTGCAAAGCGCTGTATGCATGAGTGTGATCTGAAGACAAGCGCTGCCAAACTTCTTGAGAGAGACACCTCAAGGCTCAAGTCAAGGAACCTTGAAAGACACATTGAGAGAAGCCCCCAGGAAACCTTTAGAGGGAAACCTTGAGAGACACCTTGAGAGACACCTTGAGAGACACCTTGAGAGACACCTTGGGAGACACCTTGAGAGGGATCTTGAGTGACACCTTGAGAGTGACCTTGAGAGAAACTGTAGTAAGAGAGACCTTGAGAAACCCTGAGAGAACTTTGAGAGATACCCTAAACAACAGACTGTTTGAGAGAATTGTGTGGAGCTACTTCAAAAAAACAACTTGAGGGTTGCCTTGAGATCCTTGAGAAACTATGAGGGGCAGCACGAGACACGCTGTCAGGACACTGCTGAGAGGGATAATGTATCCTTCACGGCGCAAACCAAATCCAACCCTCCTTTGTTGGAAGCCAACGCCATTTGATTGAGTTGGGGGGCTGGAGCCACGCAAATCACATGAGGCCTCAAGCAACAGTAAGCCTTTGAAGTTTGCTCTCAAGGCACGCTTAAGCACTCACAGTCGACGTGAAAGGCGGTCAACTTTCTCATGGCCCCAAACCCTTATACATGTTTCGACGGTTTCTCTCCTTGTTTGTGCTGACCTTTGCCACACGCAGGCGTTTGGGAGACATTGCGCACGCATAGCTGCTGCACAGCTCATTCCATCGCGCCATGTCCTCGCAACACTTTGAGGGCGACTCCCAAATGCTTGATCTTGATGCTCTTGATGCTGAAGATGGCGATGAGTTGGGGCCACCTGTTGGCTTCGCAGTCATGAACGATGGAAGCACCCGGGGAACCTTGCCAGAATTCCTCAGCCCCGTCACTGCCAGCCTTGCCGACAGCTTGCTCAATCTCATCAAGGACAACAAGAATCAAGACAAGGAGGAGAAGTCTGTGGAGGGCAACTGCAACATGCAGGAGGAAGAGTGCGGAAAGGGGAAGAGCAAGGCAAAGGACAAGGGTGGCCAAGGAACAAACAACAGTGGCAAGGGCGCGTCCTCATCATCTACTAAGAAGACAAAGAACAAGAAGTGAGGCCGGGCGCTTTGCCGACACAGATCGCTCTCCTGAGAGAAAAACAACAATGGGTCTATTTTGCCATAATGAAGCTAGAGTTCCAGTGTAACACTGGCCACCACTCCCATGGCCACAGCTACGCGCCCACAAGCATGATAACTTGTTTGAGAGCCGGAATGCCCCTGCTGCGCCAAAGCAACTTGAGGCTCGTCATGCCCCGCAGCCCCGAGTTTGTTCTTAGATATCGATTTCCCAGTAAAAAACAAAGCTGAGTTTCCAGAAACATACGTTGACAACATGTCTCTCCACATAGGGGGGGGTCGAAGTTTGGTCGAATGTTGGTCGAAACTTCGACCCGTAGTTTGATCGCACTTTGGTCGTAGTTTGGTCGCAGTTTTGTTAAAACACTGTAAATACCAATGTTTTATGATATGATCATGTAAAACTACGACCAAACTGCGAGTCGAAGTTTCGACCAACATTCGACCAAACTTCGACCCCCCTTTCAACTCCCTTAAATGTGGCAATGAAAAACTGTACTAAAATGGTTGTGAATTTTGAGAGGAACAGTCTTGGGAGGGGCTTGGGGGCGTTAAGATTCTTTAGGAAACCAATATGTTTTGGTTCCTCTCAAGGTGCCATCTCTCAAGGTTGCAGACCACTCTCAAAGTGTCTCTCTCACGGCGCGGTCTCTCTGGCGCAAAGGTGTTTCTCCAACAAATGCAATCGTCAAAAGAGTTTCCACTTTAGGTTAGTTTGATTTTCAACCAGCAGGATTGGGCTCGTTTGTTTGGGCTCACAGGGGTGAGAAGCGACATCGAAAGTGACTGAGAGGAACATGTTGTGAGCAAACCACTGCGCAAACTACGCCTCTCACCTTTTGCACTGAGTACGTCACCTCCCCAACTTCCCCCGAGTCTTGTTTTCGCCACTCTCACGTCTCACACCTCCTGAGGAAGCGCTCGCTCAGAGCTTCAAGTACCCTAATGGCGTGGTGTCCTTGGTCCTGTGTAAGCTGCATCAGCGCATCCGCAACGTCTTTGCCGAAGTAGTGCCTAATGCTCGCAAAAGCACCCTTGGTTCTTTTTTTACCAGGCATATACACTGTATTGCTCGAGTCAAATGTAAAGTGGCCAGCGTCAATAAATACAACTTCAAGCTCGCCGCGTTCACGAACTCCGAGGTTACGAAAGCCAACGTCCATCACCCGAACGCCTGCAAGGGTCGCGCGCGCCAAAATAGCAACAACGTGCTCAGCGAAGTAAACATCAGCGGGAGGATGCCGTTCCAAATACTCCTCAGCAGTTTCAAAGCGATCTTGCACCACCGCGTGCAACGGGAATGCCATGTGCCCCTCAAATGAGCAGGTGCCATGCCAGCTACCATAAACGCCAGGCGCTAGGTCAGGAGCCCACAGGCTCAGCTTCATGTCAGGTTCGTTATCTGACAGGCTTCGCGCAAACTTGATGACCTTTCCAGGTGGATATTCATACACAATTCTTTGCGACCCCCACGCCACCCTTCTGATAGAGATTTGCTCGCCCCCCACCCACGTAATCGTTGCCACCTCAGGGAAATGGCTATTCCACTTTTTACCTGAAGAGCATGCCTGGCCATTCAAAATGAACTGCCATGCGCTAGAAGAACTAGATGCTTCCTGCGGTCCCAGCTCAGCGCCCTTGCAGGCATCCTCACTACTACACAATGCAGGCGCAGGTGAGGCTTCCCTGTGCAAGTAAGCTTGTTCTTGAAGAGTATCAGCTTGTTCTTCCCTGGGCAACTCAGCTTGTTCTTGAAGAGTATCAGCTTGTTCTTCCCTGGGCAACTCAGCTTGTTCTGGAACAATTGTTGCAACAGATTCACTGCAGTTGCTGCCTTCGTCTGAAAAGATAGTCTTGTTGTCTTCATCTTCTACAGGCGGTTCTTCTTCTACATCGTCAGCTGCTTGTATCCCAGCGCGTAGAAGTGCGTCAAGATACCAACGGCGTCTCATAGCTTCAAGGAATGCGCTGGTGATCAAGTGTAACGCACTCACAAGCGACATGCTCCCGACATTGTTTCATGTAGGGTCTAGCCAATTTCTGAAGGCCAAACTATAATCGCACGTCTTGCCTGTTCGTGCTCAGAACACATGTGAATTTCAAACAAAAAGGTGTGCTCGAAACTGTGAGGGTGGGATGTGTTTCCAGGGCAGCGGCCGCCCTTCCCCTTGAACCATGAGAGGTGTGTCACACATTGAGTTGCTTTGCCTCTGCCTGCCTTGTTCAGCATCCAGCCGCTGTGCAAGAAACAGCACATTGCCAATTCCCCGCTTGGCCATGCCAGCTATGAAGAGGCCTGCGGCCAGCGAGGCTACGTCTGGTGCGCCCACGAAAAAGCCAGCTGCGAACAAGCTGACCATCAATGCCATGGTGGATGACATCAAGACGGCTGCTTCGTCCAAGGATGATGAGGAAGAGAACCAATTGCGCGACAAAGGAAAAGCCGAGAAATTCGGCAAATTAATGAAGGCTGGGGCATTGCCGCTAGCTGTGGTTCACATGTGGCAAATCGAGTCCAAGAAAGCGCAGAGCCAACGGCAGTTCCAGACGAATCTGATCAATGGACTGTTCAACAAGCAAACTGATGGATCCTACAAGATGAACACGGAGTCTCACCAGTTCAAAGAGTACCAGAAGATCTACGTCCAACACGTCGCCAAGGACAAGAAGAAGGGAATGCCGCGGGGGATCATGTTGGCTTCCGTTTTCCATGGCGACTCCAGGGCCATGGAGGCTAGCCTTGCTAAGGGCGAGTTGCAGTCGCACAAGGACGATGCGGGTATGGAGTACCTAAGCTTCCGTGAGCTGCAAACCATGGAGGTCAAGACCAACGAACGTGGTGAAACAGTTGAGGGGTCCAAGAAGCTCAAAAGCCAGGAGGCCCACACGTTGGCGGGGCTCATGTCGAAGATGAAGTGGGAGTGGGTCTGCAAGGAGGCAGGGTCCGGGCGTTGCTCTCGGGGCTTGCCTTTTGTCACTATTTGTCACACTCAGGGTTTCTGTGTCGGTGCTGTCAGTCGCTTCGCTTATCAGATGACCCCAGGCTGGCCCCCCCCCAATCACTCTCAAAGTCGCATTGCTCTGAACGTGTTTTTGGCTCTCACAGTTTATCGTTTCTCTCAAAGTGTGTGGTCGCTCTCAAGGTGAGTCTTTGTGCTCTCAAGGCAACGCTCTCACAAGGAAAATGAATGGTTTACGCTGGTTGTGGGTACCTTGAGAGAAACAGTTTCCTGAAACAATTGGATGGGGGATAAACATTGCAAAGCTAGCATCCATTCGCCCTTTTCCAGTTTATTCTTACTCTGGACATTCCTTTGGAGAAGTAAAGCTGCAACAACTGTGTCCCCACCAGCGCTGCAAGACTTGTGGGCTAAGGCTGATCAGACTCGGCTTGAACAGGATGCTCATCTGCCTGAAGGGTTCCTCAAGACGCTGGGCAAGGCAGCCACGGCGTGCGACAAGTTGCTGAAAGAGGGCTTGAAGCTTTCCAAGGAAAGGGGCTTGGCGGAGAAGGAGGGAGCCCTCAAGGCTGCCTACGCCGACCTGACCAAGCACCAGAGCCAGATTGAACACGTCAAGACTTGGAAGGAACTCCCGAACACCGATGGCCCACTCACCAAAGGCACCTTGGACAACTTCTTGCTTGACATTGCCCGGGACGTTGACAAGTACAACAGGGAGATCGAAAGCGTCAAGGGCATCCTCAAGGCAAGGCGCAACTGAGGCCGCTGCTTCCGTTTTTGTGTTTTGAAGCACCTTACGGGGCTCCACCTGGCCACAGCAGCTATAAGCGCAAGAATATACTTCAGGCACACCCGTGAATGCGGCGCAAAACATTGCTGAGCCTCGAGAGGCACACGCGCTGTGGCCCTTTTGAGAGACAAACGCTTGGTAGCTGCGCACACCTTGAGAGACACCCTGAGAGATACCCTGAGAGACACCCTGAGAGACATATGCTGTTTCCTTGATGTTGCGTAGAACACTGCGACGCACAAAGTTCTTCATATACACACACAAAGGTAACCTTTGAGCGGAAAGGAGCAGGATTTGTCAATTGTTGCATGGGTTTGTCAATTGAGCAGAAAACGCTGATTTTACCACACTGAGCATTGTTTGAACATATAAACAAGACTTGCTTCACACTTTCACCCAGCCGCGCCATGGATCGCTTACCTAAGCGCAGAAAGATTGGGGGAATCAGGCAGCGCATGGCCAAAGCCACCGCCAACGAACAGGCAGGCAATTTCACCAATGAAAGCCAGCTTGCCGCGCTCCTCCTGGAACTTTTTGCTTGGGGGGCTATGTCTCCCCAACTGATCCAAGAAATTGCTGCCCTGGCTGTTCGAGACTTGGAAGCCTCTATAGAAAATGGCCAAGTCCTTGGAGACTTGCGCGTCCTTGCTGGCATAGGCACCAACGGCGCTTACAAAAACAAGTGCCATGCTGACCTGATGAACAAAGTCGAGCACTTGAGCCAACTACCAGAGCCATTTCGAGTTCGAGTTCCCTTCGCCCTGCCTTTCGGCGAGTCGCTGCAGGGAATGCTCTTGCCACACCAGCTCTTCGCGTCTTTGTGGCGGGACTACCCAGAAACTTGGCGATCGTCTGTTCTTCCTGATGAGCAAACCCTGCAACGATTTTGGAGCGCAGTGGATTCTCATCCACAGATGGAGAGCCACCCCATCCGGGACGTTGCCGATTACAAGTCCAAGGTTGTGCCGCTCGCCGTCCATGGAGACGGCGTGCCGGTGGTCGGTCTTGGCAAAGGGTGGTCCAAAGTTATGACCATGTTTTCGTGGTATTCGTTGATAGGGCAAGGGCAGACCAAAGAAATCTTATTCTGGGTCTGGAGCATGTATGACCGCATGAGCAAAGGCTCTGTCTCTGAAGGAACCAGAGGCGTTTTCTTTGCAGTGCTACGATGGTCCTTCCTGTGTTTGATGGAAGGGAAATGGCCAAGCGCCGACTTCCAGGGGAAGAGGCATCTCGGCCACCACAAAAATCATTGGGCGTGGTTTTGTCTTTTTTGTTCTTATTTAAGGCATTTTTGTCGCATGCATGGCACCCACACCAAAATAGGAACAAAAGCGTACAAATACAACAAGCTGCGCCCCCCGCAACAACTTTGACGGCCGCCGCAGGTATGTTGCTGGAAGTGAAGGGCACAGGCTGGCGGGAAAGTGGCTAGCTGGAGGATATCGGGGAGTATTGTTTGCCCTCACAGGGGACCTGGATTATTACAATAAAATATTGGGCCTTCCAAACTACTCTTCTGCGGCAGGGCCGTGCTCGCATTGTCAATGCAAAAAGGCGGGCGATGACACATGGACAGATTTTCGGGCAACTGCAAGCTGGCGAGCCACCAAGTGGACTCCTAGCGCGTGGCGTGCTTGGGAAGAGCATTCTCGATGCCCGCTGCTGTCCCTTCCAGGTGCCTCTTGCTGGACAGTCGCCTACGATTGGATGCACGTCAAATACCTAGGCACTGACATGTATCAATACGGATCTGTCTTAGCTTTTCTGTGCCATACGGTCATGGCGAACGAGCCCGAAGAGAATCTCTCACAGTGCTGGACGTTCTTGAAACAGTTTTTCAAGGACCATGGCACCCCATCGCCTTTTCGATATTTGAACCGTCTCTCTATGTTTGTGAGGCAAGGCGGCCGCTTCCCCAAATTGCGGGGCAAAGCTGCCGAGGTCAGGCACTTCGGGGCAGCTTTGCACGCTTTATGGAATGCTCACATGAACCCTCATTTGATTCTTCATCGCCGGATCAACTTGATGTTGCAGTTAAACTGCCAGCTGGAGAACATGATCACAGAGTACAAAGACGACTTCGCGTTCCCCCCTGGGCCTGCTGAGGACTTCGAAAACACATGCACGACAATGCTCCAATTGCAAACCCAAGTTGCTGAACATTTCTTGGAAGAAGGTATTGCCTATTTCGACGTGACTTCGAAATGTCACATGCTGCAAGAGCTCGCCATCCTGGCTCGTCACATCAACCCTCGGCTCATTTGGGTGTTTTGCGGGGAAGACATGATGCAAAAGATGCAACAAGTGGCGCAGAGCTGCACCAGGGGCAACACCCCGGGCCAAACCAATTTGAAAATGGCCCGCCACTACCGCCTCGGATTGCATGTCTTGTTCAAGAAACGTCACGGATGAAGGCGTTGCTCTCTGTCTTTCTCACACCCCAAAGCACTTTGCGCTCGCGTACTGTGTGTGCAAAAAAAGGCGCGCCGTCAAGCTGTCTTTCATGCAACAGACAAGAAAACACGAGGAGCCCGCCAAAGGGGTCATCGCAAATACTTTTCGCAGAAGATCTAAGAGGTTTTTTTTAGGGGATCACCTTGAGAGACACACCTTGAGAGATGCATCTTGAAGGGTTTGCTTCGAGAGAGGCGCCTTTGTTAAGAATGCGAAACGAAAATCTCATGGCCTAGCGCTGCCGAAACGGCGCATGGGAGTTATACCCTCACACAAGTGTATCTGCGCGCAAATGCGCTCACATGAAAATATTGTCACATGAACGGGGGGGGAACAAGATTTGTGTGTAAGAGTGAGAGAGCTTGCGCACAGCGAAAGGCCACAGCAGCGCACGCATGCGCGCGCGCTGTGAAGGGCTGTCAAACATGAGGGGTCGCAGTTTGGTCGCAGTTTGGTCGAAATTTGTCCCCGGCACATTCTAACTAATAGTTAGAAAATAGTCTAAACTATTAGTTAGAAAATCGTGTGTGTTTTTGGAACCAAAAAAATAGACTATTAGTTAGAATCGCGCCGGGCCAAATAGTCTAAATATACTATTTTTTCGGCGCAACAACGAGACTAAATAGTTAAAAAAAATAAACTATCTTCCACCACAAAAAAATCTACCTAATTTATAGAATTAGATCTAATTCTATAAATTAGGTAATTCCTAGTTTTCTGACTAATCTGGTCTATTGGGAAGTCTGCATACAGTTTATTCTTGATAGCCTTCTGCTCCTTGCCGGCAGGTTTTTGGGAGCCCATGTAATTGAAATGCACTGTACAAAGCTGCTCCAAACACTTTTTTGACAAGCCGGGCTTGACAAGGCCATTGCCGCGCTTGACATACGGCACCAAATCAAGCGCAAGCATCTGAAAAACAACTTTTTGCATGAGCTCCGTGGCGGGGCCACCTTTCCGCGGCCTCTCTCCCAAAATTGCCTCCAAGTAAAGCTCCAGCTGTAGACGCTTGGGCGTTGGCTTCTTGCCTTGACAAGCTTCCTGCACCGAGTATCTCATTTCTCCGTGCGCTGGCTGCCACGGAAACCCATGCTGCTCCGCCACAGATGCTCTATTTGCGGAGGTGTCCTCCAGAACACTCTGAGCTGTGGCACCAGCAGCAGGCTTTGCAGCAGACAGCAAAGTTGCATTGCTACTTGCAGCGACGCTACTTTGAGACTGACCTTGCTGCTCAACTGTGGGAAGGACGGGCAGAAAAGCCGCATCCTTCCCGGTGGCTACCAGACATGCTGCGGTGCTAGCACTTTGCACGTCTACGGGCCGCCCGACGGATAGAACAGTCGCGTCGTTGCTGGCGGCGGCAACACTGTGAGAAGGCTGCTCGGCAGTGGGCAAGCTTCCCACGTGAGCTGCCTCCTGGCCGCAGTCCGCTGCACGTGCCTCGGACGGCGCAGCTGCTGAAGATTTCTTTTTCTTGGCTTTATTCTGCTGAGCAAAGCGCTTCTTCAGCCAGAAAGGGCACTGATTGGAGGCCACAAACGCATGCAATTGCTCTATGGCCTCACGATCCGACAGCTCTCTGGGATCTGCCTCTGCCGCTGTAAAAGGCCTGTGCAGTCGCAGACAATATCTCGCCATGTCGCTAGCATTCGGTCTGCGGCCGTCTAGATTCAAGTAAGGCTTCTCCTTGACGATCGCGGGCTTTTTGCGCAAGCTCAAGTTTCTGCCCCGACGATCTATGCGTCCAACAAACTGAGACAAGGACATTTTTCGCACGGCTTCGACGGACAAGCCGCCACCCAAACGCAGCTTCTCCAAGCGGCTGGCATAAATGTCTACCTTAGTTTGCTTAGTCACGGTAGTTTGCTCCGTGCCAGTTTGGATGGCTTGCAGCTCCTTGACCACAGGCTGCTCCTTGGCATTCAGATTCACAAAAAATCGGCTGGACAGCACGCGCGGCAAGTCCATCAAGACGTGCCATGCTTCCAGTGAGCAAATCTGGTCAGGCACAGCCGTATGGATGAATAGCTTCGATAGCAGCGACGTGACAGTCATGGTCTCATCGTCGCGCATGCGGCACAGTATATCATCTAGCAGGCCACCGATCCGGCTGGTGGCCGTGTGGCCGCTGCCAAGCTTGCCCATATATTTTGTGAGGTAGTTAACTGCTGCCTGTATGGTCAGCACTACCTGATCGTCAACGTTTGCCACCAAGCCCATGGCCTTCAAAGGATCATGCGTGTTGACATGATGGCAGTTCCTGCGGGCGTACAGGCGGTACAGCCCTTTACGCCGGGGGTCTTCCAAGATGACCCCTTTGCCTGGCGGCATGCGTGACTTCTCGTAGTCTTTGCTGCAAAAGGCATATGTCTGCGTCTTGCGAGCGCAGCTTTCATGTTCTGCCGGACGGCGTGCCACTTTGCTTCCCAGGCCGGGCCGCACCACGCGCAAGTACTCTGCTTGCGGCATATTTTCCAAACCTGCGCCTGCCTGGACAAGAAAGCGGCTGCTGATGCAGGCATGGTCGGACATGCCTACTCCCCAAACACGTTGAAAGCTGCCCTGGACGAGCCGTACGGTTTGCTGCCGCGCCGACCTCGGCACTGGACGGTCGCCGGGCTGGCTCTCACTGGCGGACAGAAGAGACGCACCAGGAGGCTGCTGAGTGGCGGACAGAAAAGTCGCACCCTCATCTTCCGGAACTGCACGGCGAAATGCGCGCGACAAGAAAAAGCAACGGTCGAAGCGCCATGCTTGCACACTGGGATGGGACGTGTCCATCCAGTCGTGACACCAAGTGCCTGACAAAGTCACCTCTGCACCATCTGCCTCCCAAGCATCTTGCCAGCGCTCCTGATAGCGCTCAGGCATCTTCTCTGAGGCATGCGTATTAGTGTCCCCGGCAAAAATGCAGCCGCCCACCGGCAAAGCTTCCAGGGCATTCCAAACTACTTCCATTTCCGAGGCTCGCTGCGCTGCAAACTCTGCGCTGGCGGTGCAGTGCGCAGTGGCAAGCGCCAAGCATGCTCCGTTTTTGGTTACCTGCACTTGAACATGCAGTAAGTGCCGGACGCCTGCAGCTGTCAAAGGTACGACTCCCACACGAAGCCGCGTCACCGTAGCGTTGCGCAAGAGCATGCACACATCAAAGCCTTCCAGCGTGCTGTGGCCACGCTGCGCGGGACTCACTACATCGTAACCTAACTCGCGGCCCGCAGACAAGATAGCAGGAAGAGTGCTGGGCGTCACCTCTTGCATGCAAAACACATCATACTCGCCAATCCTGGCGCGAACATCTTGGCGCAAGGGCTGCTGGAACAAGTTCAAGCTGCCTACAGCAAGGTCAAAGACTTCTTCTGAGATAAGTCTCCGACCAGTGTCGCCTTCAAGCTGCCCTGCTGCCTGCTCCATGGCCACCTCCACATACACCGGAGGTACCTCCACACCGTGGCCACTGTGTCGGTCGTGCATGTTGCAACTTTCGACGCACGCGTCTGACCAGCTGGCAATTGTTGGTCATGAGCAATGCCTTTTGCTCTGTGCCTATGCGGCAGGGGTGCCACTCTGCTTGTGCCAAAAGTGCCTCCAAATCTTGCAACAGTGCCTTTTCTTGGCAAGTCAAATGAACAATTTTTCGCTTTCCGGCACCGTCTTTCACGTACGCCATGCGAGTGGGACTAGGAAACACTCGTGCAAAATCTGCATCCACTGGCAAGGCTTGCTGGGAAAACTGCTCCCTGGCGGCCAGAAAAGGCGCACCAGGAGGCTCCTGCTGGGATGCTGCTGGCGCAGCTTCTGGTTGCAAACGCGCACGCTTGCGCGCAGGCTGCGCAGTCTCCTTGACACGGGATAGCTCCAAGTCTTCGGATCCGTCAGACTCTGCATCCGAGTGCAAGGGGGAGTCTGCGGCCGTTTTGCGGGCAGGAGCATTTTCAATGTCCTGCTGAGACCATTTCTCCGCTTTGCCGAAGCTCCAGTCCGTGACATATTCCTCGTGCACACGGGCAAATTCTTCAGCAGTGCGCACGCTCTCGGAACTAGGCAAACGCCACTCCTCCCTTGCAGGGTCCACGCGTGGCATCTGCGCGCCAAAATTGATGGAATGCAAGTGCATGATGCCGCCGGCACCCCACTCGAAGACGCCTTCTCCATCTTCGTACTTCAAGACATGCTTGTAGAAGAGTTCCATCTTGTAGCCGGTGTACCATGCTACCACCCCTGGATATTTCAACACCAAGCGTCTGTCCAGGGACAGCTTCCTTTCTGCCGGCTCTAGTGGGTCGGAGCGACCATGGCGTCGCCGAGTCACGGCGGCGTCGTACTTTTGCAAAATTTGCGCTAAGTCCTGCCAGTGGTAGATGGCAGTCGTCAAGGTCGTGAAGTGGCAAGGAATTTCTCCCCCTGCTTGCAAGCAACTCAGCGAGTTCTGAAGCTTTTCCAACAAGGCACGCAGCTCTGGGTCTTCGGCTGCAGCTGCATCCACAGCGCGGTTAGAAAGGACGCGCGCTGCGTCGCCCACGCGGTCAGAAAAAACGCGCGTAGACGCAGTCACGGCGCGGTCAGGAAAGACGCGCGCTGCGTCGCCCACACGGTCAGAAAACACACGCGCAGACGCATCCACAGCGCGGTCAGAAAAGACGCGCGCTGTGTCGCCGACGCGGTCAGAAAAGACACGCGCAGACGCAGTCTCGGTCACGGCGGAAGCTCCCAAAACAGCCTCAAGTGCATGCTCTGCAGCCACGCATTGCTCCTTCAGTGCCTGCTGCACAGGTGAGTCAGGCGCCAATGCCTCTTTCTCGGCGCTGACAGCTGTGCGCCACACCTCCAAAACTTGCTCTGCCTTCTGCTCGAGCGTCTCTTGTTCAATCTGCTCTACCAAAGCTTCAAGATCGCTCCTCTGCTGCAGCTTCTCTTGCGCCGAGCCAATCATGGCTTGCTCGAAAGCAGCAATCACCTTT